CAATTCTTGTTCCCAAGAAACTTATTTGCAAGAGCCCCATCCTTAATAAGGAAGCAAGAATTACTGCCCTTTGAACCAATAGGGTTTTTTTGGTTTGTTTTTATCTTTTTAGTGAAGAGGAGAAAACACAAGCTGTGGAATCTGACAAACCTGGGTTTGAACTCCTGCTTTACTAGGCATCATTGCCTGTGTGACCTTGTGCAAATCAATTAGCCTTTCTAAGCCTCAGCTTCCTTCTTTATAGAATGACAAGATGATATTAATAACTACTAATTGGGACTAGTAAGAGTACTCACTTCATATGGTAGTTGTGAAAATTAAATGAGACAAACCACAGTGCCAGGCATATAGGAAGAGTTCAAAAACTATAGCTTAAAAAAAAGCTACCCAATTTATTGTAATTCTTCTAAATGTCTAGTCCCCAAAGGAGAAAGGCCATCTTTGATTTCTAGAGTTATCTATTATGCTAACCCACTATCAGCCATAGTTAGAATAAGCAGGTTCCATGGAAAAGAAGAGGCAACTTGGAGCGTGAGTGAAAGCATGCACCTTACCAAATTAGGTGGAGTGAAAAACTCAGGTCGCATGTAGGTGGTAGGTTTGGCAAACCTGGGACCAGAACAGGCTGCCCTTTGGCTCTAGAGAGCTAGCCACACCCAACCAGATACACAGACACACCTCCAGCCTCTGGCAGAAGCTTCCACTAAGTAGGTTTCATAAGGCTGGAAATCTTCTGCGGGTCCTACACAAAGGGTCTATACTTATTTCATCTCCTTACCAGACTCTCCTTTCTCTCTTCAGGCCTGGGCATTAACACAGTTTTTATCACTACATTCTGATGACTGCAGACATGAACATAATTAAGCTATTCTTTAGTGATGATCTTAAGATCTTAAGCCATGCAAGGCCATGATTACAGGTTCCTAATCTACAAAGTCAGTGGGGAAAGGATCAGTTTACCCAACATGATAAAAGATTGATTTCTTCACTAATAGTCAGAAAGGTAAATATAATCCCTAGCTAGCAGGGAGAAAGGGATATCTCTAGATATTCATTGGATAGGTATCCCTGTAATTACACCATAATCCTAAAGAGAGGTCTCCAGATACACTAACCAAGGGGAACTCAACTTTAACTTTTGGGTTTCACTGAATGCCTAGGGCTTTCCAGTCTGCAGTTTTGTTTCTCTGTAAGTATAGCCTTCTTTAGGCCTACACATGCAAGTAACTTTATAATTTATAAAACAAAAACAAATTGAAAAACCACAGGTATTTAAAATTGTAAATCAGGAAATATTTTATTAATCTATTAATCTATTCTCTAGGGAGTGATTTTAAGCGGTCATTAGATTGAGGGTGAATAGGTTGGCCGGGCACGGTGGCTCACGCCTGTAATCCCAGCGCTTTGGGAGGCCGAGGTGGGTGGATAACCTGAGGTCAGGAGTTCAAGACCAGCCTGGCAAACCTGGTAAAACTCTGTCTCTACTAAAAATATAAAAATTAGCTGGGCATGGTGGCAGGCGCCTGTAATCCCAGCTACTTGGGAGGCTAAGGCATGAGAATCACTTGAACCCTGGAGGCAGAGGTTGCAGTGAGCTGAGATCATGCCATTGCACTCCAGCCTAGGTGACAGAGCGAGACTCTGTCTCAAAAAAAAAGATTGAGGGTGAATAGGTCAAAGCAGCATGCTTCTAAGACAGACCAAATTGTAATAGGCAGGGATAGTTCTCAACTAAAGACAAACGCATTTCAGCAGAGTGATACGGTTTGATGAACCAGGAGAAGCCAGTGAGTGGTGTGACCATGCTGAGGGCAGTATGAATGTCTAGTCAGTGGTTAGGACAAGGAATTAAGACACTTAAATATGAAACAAAGCATGAAGAAGCATTTGTATAGGATTCAAGTATTAGGTGGTTGGTTGGACTTCACAAACGTTGAAGCTTCTTCAACCAACCTGAGACTCTGATTCTGTTTGTAGATTCATTCTCAACACTACCACTGAATTGATCTTCCTGAAAAAGCCATTTATGAAGAGACCAACAACTTCTATTCACCAAAGCACCAATATGCCAAATATGCCAAGTCTTTGGGACATAAAATTCAAACAGCAAACACCCAAGGAATTGAACAATGAACTAGGCTTTTCAAATATTTCATATATTCATTGAGTACTGGGTAAATAAAATACATAAAATCTTTGGAAAAAGTCTAGGCATTGCTTGACATTGATATTGTTATTCATTAAATAAAAAATTATCTGTGATATCAGTATCCCCTTTTAGCTGATTAATGGATGTGGTCACTGTCTTAAGCTCTCTCTATGTGTGTGTGCATATATATATATAATATATATATATATGTTCATGTATATTTTTGTGTATATATAGCTTTCAAAGACCAACAGCCCTTAAACTTGGTAAAAAGACACTCGACTTCATTTAACAATACACATTAAATCTACTCTGAGACTATTTGTCACTTAGATTGAAAAAAATCCAAGTTTGATGTATTTTGTTGTCAGGACAGTGGGGAAACAGGCATTCTCTTTCATTGCTGGTGGCAAAATGGTATAACACTTATGAAGGGCAATCTGGCAATATCTATCAATACTTCAATGCATATGCCCTTGATCCACCAATTCCACTTTGTGGAACTTATTCTTGCCTGGCCTAAAAAATATTTTGAATCAAGTTTCCATATTACCAACCTTAAAAAATATTTTAAAATTAATTTTTAAAATAAATTAGACAAAATTTAAAACAGAGTTGTTTTTCATTTAAAAAGATGTTGGTCGGGCGCAGTGGCTCACCCCTGTAATCCCAGCAGTTTGGAAGGCCGAAGTGGGTGGATCGCCTGAGGTCAGGAGTTCAAGACCAGCCTGACCAACATGGAGAAACCCGTCACTACTAAAAATATAAAATGAGCCAGGCGTGGTGGCGCATGCCTGTAATCCCAGGTACTAGGTAGGCTGAGGCAGGAGAATCACTTGAACCTGGGAGGCGGAGGTTGTAGTGAGCCCAGATCGCGTCATTGCACTCCAGCCTAGGCAACAAGAGTGAAACTCCATCTCCAAAAAAAAAAAAAAAAAAGAGATGTAAGCCAGGTGCAGTGACTCACACCTGTAATCTCAGCACTTTGGAAGGCCACAATAAGAGGCTTGCTTGAGCCCTGGAGTTCAAGACCAACCTGGACAACATAGTGAGACTCTTTCTCTACAAAAAATTAAAAAATTAACCAGGGATAGTGGCATGTGCCTGTAGTCCTAGCTACTTGGGAGGCTAAGGTAGGAAGATCACGTGAGACCAGAGGTCGAGGCTGCAGTGAGCCGTAATAGTGCCACTGCACTCCAGCCTGAGTGACAGTGCAAGACACTGTCTCAAAAAAAAAAAAAAAGAAGAAAAAAAAAAAAGATGTGCATGGTACATCTATACAATGGAATTATTATTCAGCAATAAAAAGAAATGAGCTATCATGCCACAGAAAGACATAGAGGAAACTTAAATGCTTACTGCTAAGTTAAAGAAGCCCATCTGAAAAATTTACACACTGTATGACTCCAACTACATGATATTCTGGAAAAGGCAAAACTTTAGAGACAATAAGATCAGTGGTTGGCAAGGGCTGCAGGGGGAGGGAGAAGGATCAATAGGTGGAGCACAGAGGATTTTTTAGGACAGTGAAACTATTCTGTATAATGGAATGGTGAATACATGACATTACGCATTTATCAAAACCCACAGAACTGAACGACACAAAGAAGTAACCCTAATTATTATATATTATATATTATATGCAATAATAATACGTCCATATTAGTTTATCCAGTGTAACAAATGTACCACACTAATGCAAGACATAAATAATAGGGGAAACTGTGAGTGAGGGAGACCCAAGATATATGGGAACTCGCTGTACTATCTGCTCAATTTTCTGTAAACTTAAAACTTCTCGCACGTGCGGTGGCTCACTCCTGTAATCCCAGCACTTTGGGAGGCCTGAGGCGGGCGGATCACGAGGTCAGGAGATTGAGACCATCCTGGCTAACACGGTGAAACCCCATCTCTACTAAACACACAAAAAATTAGCGGGGCGAGGTGGCGGGCGCCTGTAGTCCCAGCTACTTGGGAGGCTGAGGCAGGAGAATGGCGTGAACCCCGGAGGCGGAGCTTGCAGTGGGCCGAGATAGCGCCACTGCACGCCAGCCTGGGCGGCAGAGTCAGACTCCTTCTCAAAAAAAAAAAAAAAAGTGTATTGTGTGCATATGTGTGTGTGTACATATCCATGTGTATGTGTGCTTTTTTTCATTCATTAAATGCCTTACACACTAAAGATGCTCAAGAAAGTACTACATATACAGTCTTAGCTCAAGAGCTAAGTCAATATCTCAAGTTCTGTTGGAGTGGGCAAATCCGGTTCTGATCCTAGTGCTACCATTTTCTAGTTGTGTGGCCTAACTTACACAAGTTATCTCTTCAGCCCCAGTTTCTCCACCTGCAAAACTGGAAGAAAACACGGTAATTCCTCCTAGGGCAGTTGAGAAATTCAAATGAAGAATAATGCATGTAAAATGCTTAGCACAGTGCCTAATGAAAAAGAAAAGCTCGAAATGTTCGCTGTCGCCGCAATGGTAAGACAGTTACTCACGGAATGACTGATCTGGCACTTGAGGTTCCAAGGTTATTCTTACTCCACTAACAGCAGGTCAATAATACCCCAACAGGGCCCCAAATCCTCAACTCCAACCTGACCCACTTTGAACACAATCCACATTGCCTGAGTTCCAGCCCCTACACTTCAAACAATTCTTTACTTCCCAGGTGCTTTTCTCCTTCCTACTCGGCCTTACAGGTTCAGGCCCTAGAACCCCCGCCTCTCCGCCCCTCCCAATACCACCCGGACCCGATCCCACTCAGACCCGGCCCCCGCCCCCGCCTCCTCCCAGACCCCGGCCTAATTCGTCTGCACGTCTTTCCCTCCCCAAAGTTGAAGGGGGGTTCCTACCCAGATACTCGTAGTCCGGTAGGGCTAGGCGCTCCGGACTCAGCATCCTTTGACCGGGGTGGCTTCAAAGCTCCAGCTCTCAGACTTCCGGAACCCAGGTTGCAGTCTCTCTCCGTTGCCATGGCACCCACGCGGCGGAAAGGGGACGGGAGCTGGAGGAGGTGTCACACAAACAGTCTCCGTGTCTCAAAGTGGAGCTGGCCACTCAAGTTCCGGGGGCAGTCGCCTCACGACGGTCCAGGTTTCTTTGGACTCCCATTGTTGAAGATTTGGTTTTAGAGGAATCTGAGATGAAGAATTCTTTTGAATCCATTGTTTCCCGGTGTCGAAGAATTACTGTCAGCCGCCCATATACGCAGGTTCTGAATTTCATAAGTATCCCTGCTTTTATACACTGTTTATCCTAACTCAATAATAGCCCCCGCCCTTTGGCCCCCATAAACACTTAGTATCCCATTACCTATTTTTATCTCTTTGGTATTTACTATCTTAAATTGCTACAAAGTGCTTAGGTATCTTTATACCCTGGCTGCTTCTAGAGGTCAGAGATGTGTCTTCTGCCTACGACAGCTGGACACACAAAAGGTGCTCCTTAACGCCTCTGAGATAATTGCCATTTCTTCTCAATTCTCACTCCGTTGCCCAGGCTGGATTGCAGTGGCATGATCTCGGTTCCTTGCAACCAGCGCCTCCCGGGTTCAAATGGTTCTCCTGCCTCAGCCTCCCGAGTAGCTGGGATTACAGGCGCACGCCACTACGCCTGGCTAATTTTTTGTATTTTTAGTAGAGACGGGGGTTTCACCATGTTGGCCAGGCTGGTCTCGAACTCTTGACCTCAGGTGATCCGCCCACCTCAGGCCTCCCAAAGTGCTGGGATTACAGGCGTGAGGCACTGCGGCCCGGCCTCAATTCCTTTTTATCTTTGGTTCTTCTTTCTATTCCTAGCCCTTACTATTTGGTACCCTTCCCAGATGTCTTTCCTTTTTCCTACCAAGACATTTCTCTTCTTGAGGGGGAGGGGATGCAGAAACGACATCACCAATTAGGTTTTTTTCCCCATATGCCCAATTGCTCACTTCTCCTTTAAGAGAATATTCTTTGGTTTTCAAGTTCCCAAATATTTTTTTGTCCTTTCCTACTCCTGACAACAGGTCAGAGATCTGTAGCACTCCACACAGTTCAGTCATAGCAGAAAAAGCCAGTCTGTCCTCACTTTTTTGGTGCCCTCCCCCTCCAACAAGGTGAGGTTTGTGAAAAAGAGACAAAGAAAACAAAATCAAGCTATCAAAGGAATGACTGGGAAACCAGTAGACCACCTACACTGGGAGGAAAAGGAAAGAGGAGGTTCTTCTCTTTGTGTTCCAAGTGGCCTATTCTTAGCCTCCTCCAGCAAGGAGCCTCAAACCTCCTAATTCTTGCTTTCCCTTAAAATTGTATATGTGTCTCAATTCTAGGCTCCTGTGAGTCACTCTAAGTTTGGATGTGGTGAGGATAAAAGGACAGAGCCAAAGTAGGAGCGGGGCTTAGTGTCTTGAGGCAAATTTACTAATTTGGTATTTGGTGTGAAGTCCAGCAAATCTGATTTTTTTTTTAATTGCCTTCTTATCTGCTTCCCCATCTAGCTTGAGGTTATGGGAGGTTCATATGTTCCACAGCTGTGGCTTTTTACTATTTTATTAGTAAGGTAATACCATAGTAATTATTAAGAGTGATAATTTTACTTTATTCCCGAGCAACTTGTAGCTATTTGCAAATAATCTTATTTGTCCTCATAAAAACTTTCTGCTGAGGTGGGCGGATCACGAGGTCAGGAGTTCGAGACCAGCCTCGTCAACATGGAGAAAGCCCGTCTCTACTAAAAATACAAAAATTAGCCAGGCATGGTGGCACACGCCTGTAATCTCAGCTACTCAGGAGGCTGAGGCAGAAGAATCACTTGAACCCGGAAGCAGAGGTTGCACTGAGCCAAGATCACACCACTGCACTCCAGCCTGGGTGACAGAGCAAGACTCTATCTCAAAAAAAAAAAAAAAAAAAAAAAAAGAAAAAAAAACAACTTTCTAAGGCACGTTCCCCTTTTCTAACTAGGGAAACTGAGGCACAAGTCACAACAGTGACTTGTCTAGTGACTTGCCTAGCATCATGCAGCCACAGAGTGGTAGAGCTGGAACTGGATCTCAGCTATCCCAACATCCAAGCCAGTGGTCTGACCACTAAACCACACAGTCTCTTTTTTTAGGGTTTGTTGACCTGGCTTTTATTTATTTATTTTTCCTTTTGCTCTGCCCTGCTAGAAACTGGAAGCTCCCAGATAAAAGAAGATAATGTTGAGTCCAGGCTCAACATTTGACATCGTCTTATTTGTGGAGCATTATCCTGGGACTTGGCGGGTGCTGGCTGCTGGGGTCTGTGTGGTGGAGCTGGGAACCAGCCCCAAGAATATAGCTTTGTTTGGGCATTAACCCATTTGTGGTTATAATAATGATAAGTTTCAGCACCAGTGGCGCCCGACTGTTAATGACTCAAAGAAGGCTAAATAAGAACAAGATGTCATCTCTGGAGCAATTTGTAGGTTTTTCCTGCAGTTCCATCCCTTCCATAAAAATCCGAAGGACCCCTGTATTCCAAGTCAGTCTTCCACTCTGAATGTCCTGAACAGTTTATTGAGGAGGAGGACTTAGAAAAGTAGGAGGTTGCTAGAGTAAGGCTTCCCAAAAATTTGAAGTTTCACTGAAACAACAGGTGGCCTTACTGGTAGTGGAATTACTGTTTACATTTTTCTTCCTTATATTTTTCTATAGTCTTAAATTTTTCTATATATGCATGTATTATAACCTAAAAACAAACAAATAATAAATGAGTGGCATGAAAGTCTTTAAAATTTTATAAGCAGATGTGATGACCTTCCAGATAGTGTTTGTTTTTCCCAAAAAGAAGCCACTGCTAGATTTATCTTCTGTCATAGATTACTTGATAATAGATTTTGGAAACACATTGGTTATTGATGAAATTTTTCAATGAAACATACACTACACCAGTCTTAAGAAGAGTAGAAATATATAAGAGTTGTTAAAATCAAGTGTATTTTTTGTGACTTGAATGTGAAAGAAAGAAAAAAATGTCAGCCTTTGATTTAAATTGACTTTTCAGGTTCTTAACTTATAATAATATATTTCTTAAAAATTTACCAAAAAAAAATCACCCAAGTAAATCTGTAAGTCACAAGACAACTCCACAATCCTGAAAAGAGGCAAGAGGCAAGTGATATGATATTGATGAAAAATAGAGAGAGCATCAGATGTTAAAGGCAGTACTACACCATGAGGAATGTAAACATCAAATTCAGAACAATAAGAAAAAAAGAGACAGAATATATTGAGACGGTTTTCATTTTTGTTTGTTTGTTTTTTGAGACAGAGTCTCACTCCATCATCCAGAAAGGAGTGCAATGGCACAATCTCTGCTCACTGCAACCTCTGTCTCTCAGGTTCAAGCCATTCTCCTGCCTCAGCCTCCCAAGTAGTTGGGACTACAGGTGTATGCCACCACGCTGGGCTAATTTTTGTATTTTTAGTAGAGACAGGGTTTCGCCATGTTGGCCAGGCTGGTCTCGAACCCCTGACTTCAAGTGATCCACCCGCCTCAGTCTCCCAAAATGCTGGGATTACAGGTGTGAGCCACCGCACCCAGCATTTTTTTTTCTTTTTTGAATATATATAAGGTCTCCCTTTGTCACCCAGGCTGGAGTGCAATGGCGCAATCACAACTCACTGTAGTCTGGAATTCTTGGGCTCAAGTAATCCACCTCAACCTCCTGAGTAGCTGGGATCACTGGTGCATGCCACCACACCCAGATAATATTTTTATTTTTGTAGAGACAGGGTCTTGCTAGGTTGCCCAGGCTGGTTTTGAATTCCTGAGCTCAAGCGATCCTCCTGCCTCAGTCTCCCAAAGTGCTGGGATTACAGGCATTAATGAGCCACTGCACTCAGCTGAGATATCAATTTATCAGATTATAATTTCTGATTTTATAATGAGAAAATTAACAGACATCTCTGGCTCTGCAGAAGACCTATTAAGAGATTGATATGGAAGAAAATCCCTCTATAATTGAAGACTATAGAAAAGCAAATGATGAATACACTAAACAGTTTTAAACTTCAAGGAAGCAATAAGAAAAGAATAAATGCAGGCTGAATTATTGCTATAAAACAGGTTCAAGAAACTAGGACAAGCTTTTATCACTCATCAAGCAGAAAAGATGCTAAAGGCAAAGTAGCTACTAAGAAATGCAGGTCATGAAATTCATGCTGAGCTACTAGGCACTGCATGAAAGACTTATCTTCCACAAGAGCACAGAAGAAAGTAAGTGTATGCCACTGCCTGGGATTCATATGTTTCAATTAAAAATGCTATTTATAGAAGGTCATTTTGTACTGCCACAAGCCAATACACCAGAGCTTTGGAGTAATTTGTAAAGAAAAGAAATGTTCACAAACTCTTGGGCAGTTAAGAATAACTAATGCATTATAAGAAAGTAGTTAAGGGGATATGGCTTAAATTGAACTGAAGTTCAAAGGTAATTATGGACTTTACCTTCTTGTTATTCTATGTTTTCAAATGCTGCAAAAACAGTTGCAAATTACACATTCATATAGTTTGAAAGGGAGGGTGATTTACTGATTCTTCTTGATAGCCCACAAAAATTAGTTATGCCTTCTTTTGTCCTAGAGTATGCACTTTTTTTTTTGAGACGAAGTTTCGCTCTTATTGCCCAGGCTGGAGTGCAATGGCGTGATCTCGGCTCACCGCAAACTCCGCCTCCCGGGTTCAAGTGATTTTCCTGCCTCAGCCTCCCGAGTAGCTGGGATTACAGGCATGCGCACTGCGCCTGGATGGTTTTGTATTTTTAGTAGAGACAGGGTTCCTCCATTTTGGTCAGGCTGCTCTCGAACTCCCGACCTCAGGTGATCCACCTGCTTCAGCCTCCCAAAGTGCTGGGATTACAGGCATGAGCCACTGCACCCAGCTAGTATGCACTTTTATAACCATTTATGTCTTTTAAAAAAATTCTTCCTACTAGATTGTGAGTTCCATGAGGCCAGAGACAGTCTTCACTCATCTTTAAATTTCTGGGACCACGTGCAGTGCCTGCAGAAAGCA